AAAGCTCAACAGAACAATATATATATATATATATATATATATATATATATATATATATATATATATATATATATATATATATATATATAAAACAACAAGCTTGATAAAAAAAGACAACAGTAGAGATATTTTGAATTCACTACTTAAATAACAACAAGTTGGTGGTGAGAAACTTTAAATAAGACCTGTAAGTAGTTTATTATGCATAATATTATAATAATTTTAATTAATTCATTGTTACATGCTTACATGTAATTATTATTATTATTATTATTTTAAAAATATTTTTTATTACAAGTGATCCGGAAGTAAATAAACTTGAAAAAAAAACTTTATGCTACTAATATTATTTATTTAACATTAACTGTGGACTTTATTGTTTTGAGGTTATAATACATGCGTATCCGTGTTATCTGTATGAAATATTATACCTGTATTTAATAATAACATTATTATATCGTGGATATCCAATTAATATTTTATAAAACTACAACAATTTTCATGGACGTTACAATTTTAAATATCAATAAAGATATTTTATAGCAATAATAATTAAGTCTTTTTAAATCTCTATTCTCATTTTTGTTTTTGAATTAAAGTTTATAAAATATCTCAATTTTTTTCTCAAATTTCTTGCAATCAAACACTAAATTTATGAAAATCAAAGTAAAGATATTATCTAAAAAATTATATATTTCCACTCAAATCAAAATATATACACACGTAGCCATACATTAACACCAATACACATACACACACGATAATTTTATATTAGTTTAATTTTATTTATAATTTAGGCAATTTTATGTTATATGGATTGATTCTATTTTATTTAGTTTTAAAAAATTCCTTCCCCTCTTGGTACCTTATGACATCAGATTTTATGCTGATTCACAATAAATTACTGCAAAAATATTTGATTTTATTTAAATTATAATACTTGTATGTATATATGTATGGACACAAAAAGTAATTTCTATATACATATGAATAATTTGTAGGAGAAATAATTGTATCTTTAAATATATAAACAATCTTATAATTAATGTTCGTAATAAGCAAATTACGTTTTAGGTTTTTAGTAAGTAATGTATATACTGTGGCACATTTTTTTTATTTGATAATTTTAAAAACTAAATAGAGGGAGTAATATATATAATAATGAAAGTGTATAATAATACATGAAATGCACTTTATTGATTGATCTTCACATTTTACTATACTACTTTTCTTTTCTTTTCTTTTTTTCATTTTAGCAGGAAAAAAATCAATTTTTATTTTTCACCATTTTTAAACAACTCACTATTTTCATTCATACTCTTATATCAAATTTAACTATTTTTTAAATCACCCACAAAAGCACACCATTGCTCTTAAATTATTGTTGCTTAATTTCAAACAATGTACCTCCAACTGCATAAAAAGACACAATGAACCTTCCATCTTCATAAAAAGTCATAAATGAAAAGTGATACAATGGATTCTTGAGCCTCTTCAGAATTATCACCATTAATGAAGTAGCTACAGTACTTTAAATTATTGTTTTTCTGTAAATTCCACACAATCACTGTATAGAAGAAAGAGTTTCTTTCAAACATCCAAATTACTCTCACTCACCAATTAACAAGGTTATCTATTTTGTAATATATGGTCAATTATTAATACATTTTTTACAAACACATTACATCCAATTATTAGTACTAATGTCACATTATACTTAAAAATAATAATATAATTTAAGTAAAATGGTGCATTCTGAGATGGTGGTCAAACTTTTCGTTCACACTGATGTAGATCATCACCTACCACCATTTTGAAAAAATAAGATGAAAAAAGTGTACATAAAACAAAAACTAATAAATTAGAAAACTCATAACTTTGTTTCGAAAATCTTAGGTGAAATACTCAAAAACATTTGCACAAATGTGGCCAACTTGAATTGATTGCTCTCAACATATACTCTCATAGGCATTTCATGCAAAACTTGACCAACTTCTAGCTATAATTTTTGTTTACCTTTTTTATTTACTTTATAATTAGAAAATTTTGTTAATTAGATGTTTTTTTTTTATCTATTGGAAGTCTAAATTCAAATCTAGCAACAATTTTTCTACACCCAATAGGAAACGAACATCATGATATTTATTTATATATTATAAATTTATTTTATCTTTAACTAAGATAGAATTTTAAATTTCATTGAAATAATGATAAGATTAATTTTATGAACTTTAATTTATTTTTTATAAGATATATTGTTTTGATATCATAGCATATTAATTTTGATATTACTATATTTAATTTAAATATATATTAATCTCAGCATTGTATCGAAATGAATTTTACAGTTAAAATATATATAACTAATAATAAAATATATATTAAGATAAATAGTATTATTGTAAATATAATATGCTATTATAAGAGAAATCATTAAGAATTTTTAAAGTAATACAGAACATCATATTGATGTAATTAGAATTTATCTGTAATTAGTAAACTAGAAAAAGTTATAATCATTTTAATAGGTAAGGAAATATATTTTTAAAATGTCTACATGCATGATGTTAAAATTTTCTAATTGCGGGGAGTAACAGTCAAATATGAAGTATGCTCACCAACACCAACATATTTTATCCTTTCAAAGAAATTATTTCGCTTATCAAATCACAAATTTCCTCACTATCTATAATATTTCCTAAAATAATATATCTAATTTGTTAACTATAATTTTTTCCAATAAAATATGTCCCACACCTACTTTATATAAGGACAAAATTATGCATATTGAACTCCATTTAAGATACAAATCAAACCAACAAAATAAATAAGTAAACATGAATGTCAATTGAAGATTAAAGATAAGATTTGTCAAAAAAAAAAAAAACTATTGAAATGGGTTTTTATCCAATTTCAAATTTTTAATTTCTCCATATTCATACCTAATTTAAAACTTATTTTTCATGTTAAAAATAAC